CATGCATGCATGCATGCCTACCTACCTACCTACCTACCTACATACATACATACATGCATAACAATACATGACGTTACATTACATTTCAATACATTACATTACATTCCATTCACTACATGACAATACACTGCATTGCACTGCATTACATGACATGACATGACACTACATCACATCACATTACATTACACTACATTACATACATGTGTATGTACTCATGTATTTACCTATATATATACACATACATTAAATAAAAACATATGTCTATTCGTATGTATGTACCTGTATGCATATAAACGGATGCGTTGGGGTCGGGTCCGTTGTGGTATGTCGCTTCGGGTTGCACTGGCTCTGCACAATTGCGTATGCCGTGCTGGCAAGGTTCGTAGGATGTTTCTGCCTGCAACTCGCGATTTCTATCGCTACTTGAGTTCTTCCTGTATCGAAGCTTTATTTTGTTGGCATGAGAACTGCGCCAGGACATCACAGCCTTGCAGACGTCCTTGAATGCATTGGGAAAGAAGACGGAGGAGAATCAGGCGGCGCAGGCGGCGAAAGTCGCGGAGGAGTGTGGCCGGCCGTGCGGAAATAAATAAATAAATAAATAGAAAAAAATAAATAAATAAATAGAAAAAAATAAATAAATAAATAGAAAAAAATAAATAGATAAATAAATAAATAAATATAAATATATATATATATATATATGTCGTCGTGAGTCCGATGAACACCGATGTTGCTCTGACGTCAGGAGCTTGCGACTTTGAAAGACTCTCTGATCGCTTCGGAGAAGAAGATGCAGGAAGGACAGGCGGAGCAGGCGGCCAAGAGCAACGAGGAGCCGCGGGGGGAGGAAGCTGGGCAGTAGCGGCTCAGTAGCGCTTGGGTGGCGTGAGGAGCTCGCGGCCGTGCGCAGTGCGCTGGCTGCCTCGGAGAAGAAGCTGGAGGAAGGCCAAACAGCACAGGCGACCAAATCCGCCGAGGTGCAGGGCGGAGGGCCTAATGGGCCTAATGTGAAAGTCGTTCAAGCTTTGTCCGGGGATGGCGCCAGGAAGTCACGGCCTTGCAAAGCTCGCTGAGTGCGTTGGAGAAGAAGGTGGAAGAAGGCCAGGCAGCACAGGCGGCTGCAAATGCCAAAGCCACAGAGGCTCGGACTCCGCAAGCGTGGGCCCTAGCCGCAGCCAATATGCGTTCTTTCGGAGGCCCTGAACGATTACAAGGGCAACGCCTCCAAGGCAGAATCGCTGGTCGAAAAAAGAGCCGCTGAAAGCTTCCGATTCAAGCTTCGGAGGCCCTCTGGCTGATCACCAAGTCCTTGGACGCCCACAAGGAGGAGGCGAGCAGCTGACGATGATCCGCTTGAATCTCCGCATAAGATTGAACTCTGTCAGAGGTGGCGGGCTCCTTTGTGAGCCACTCGGCGTCCACGGAGAAGGCGCAGGGCTCTTTGCGGGAGGAGCTGGCCAAGGGCCTGGCGGAGTCTGCCACGGCGCTCCTGAGCACCAAGCAGCAGATGGACGACACGTTCAGCACCGAAAGAGAGGAGCTGAAGAAGAAGCTCGAGGCCTGTGATTAATGCGGGGGATCTGATGGGAGAGGGAGGGTGCATGGGCGCGCAATTTGGTGTTGAAAGGCCCGATACGTGGTCTCCACTTAGGAGAGCAAGCGCGAACAACGCCGAAGAGCATCTTTACCTGCTAATAGCCCGCTCGCTCCAGGCGAGTGAAATTTCCAATCTGTCCGGTGCAACAGAATGGCAGCGTTCGGAGCGGCCACGACACAAGGTGAACCCAAGAGTACAAGGTATGTATTCGGGCAAATTCCTTGAGTAACCTGGTGTCTCGCCTGCAGTGCAGTGTTGTCCCTATCTTATCCCTCCGTCTCTTAATTACCTCAGGGCTGCACATACGACGGGGGAAGAGCCTCGCGGAAAAAAGTTGCAGAGCCCGTGCAAAGGGACAAAGCTGGCCCTAGGCCACGCTCGCGCACTTGCGAGCATGTAGTGCAGAAGACAGCAAGACACACACTTTCCCGACGGGGTACGAGTAGCCTTGTATTCCAAGGAAATCGTCTTTCTGTGTGCGAGTGCAGCGCGAGATGCGTCTGGTCTGGCTTCGGACGCGTCTGACGGTCTCTACTCGTATGCGGTGAGTATTGCAGACGAAGGCCCAGCGTCAAGAGTCCGCCCTGGGACTGGAAGAGTACAAGAAGGAGGCCTCAGCCGTGATGGCCAGCACCAGCGAGGTGGGGGACGTATGTCCGGGGGGATGTCCGGCTCTCAGCGCATCCCTTGGCAGGCCTTGACAGCCCACAAGATCTCCACGGAGAAGCAATTGGAGGCGCAGATGAAAGCCTTGTCAGAGCACCGCGAAGAGGCCTCGAAGCAGCTGGAGGCTTCCAGGGAGGTCTGCCAGAAGGGGACCGCAGAGGCAAAAGGAGTCCTGGAGCAGTCGATGCTTTTGACCAAGGAAGGCTTGGAGAAGGCTTTGGGGGAGCACAAGGAGCAACAAATGGGACAGCACAAGGAGCAGGCACAGCTGAACACGCAGCTTCAGAACCGACTTGAGGAGCAAGGAAAGGAGCATGCGAAAAGCGTGGAGCAAAGCATGGCCAAACAGTTGGCGGAGCTCCAAAAAATGGAAAGCAAGTTGGAGACCTTGCAGAAACAGGCTCAGGCAGATATCGAGGCTCTGAAGAAGGAGCTGGCGGCCTCCAAGTCCGAAGCGGGAAGTCTGCTAAAGACGCTGGAGGCCCAGCAGGGCGCCCAGCAGGCCTCCAACGTGGCCTTCGAGTCTTACAAGAAGGCCAGCGCCGAGCAGTTCGAGGGTTACAAAGCCCGCTCCGCCCGAGCCTAAGAAAAGAGGGCCCAGCCTGGCCTCTCGCTCTCGCCAGCTTCAGCTTCAGGCGGCGGACGTGTCGAAGCTGGAGGCGAAGATCTCGGAGCAGGAGAAGAGCTTCCAGAAAGCGCTGCAAGAGGCGGAGGCGCGGCTCCAGGCCGCCCTCAAGGCGAAGTGACTGCGCATGGGCGCGGGGCGGCCGCGCTCTCCGCCGCTCTTTTCTTTTCCCCCGGACGGGGCCGGGTGCATCCACGGTGGCACATCGTGGCACCAAGATTCCGCTGGAGCTCGGGCTACTCCCCCGGATGCTTTGGAGCTCGCGGATCACCAGGGCCACGGTCCACGTTGCATGAATCGGGAGAGTCGAGCTCTCTCTACATATATATCGTACGTGTATCGAGCTGTCTCTATATCTCTATCTCTGTTTAATATACTATGACTCTACGCGGGACTCTTGGTCTCTCTTGCGAAGCCGCGATCCTGGAGGCCCGGCGCTGCAGAGCACGGCAAGGGAGCTTCTCAAGGAAAAAGGCGGGGCGAGAGGAACTCGGGGGTTGAAACGCGCGAAGAGCCCACTCTGCAAAAAGGCCGCTCTCTGCCTCTTCCAGCCCGCAGCCACTGCAGCCTGCTCGCCATCTGAGAGTGTTGACCTCATGACCTGATGCCCTGAGCATCCCTCGCTGTAGAGCAGCAGCAGCAGCAGCGCAGTTGCAAAGTCAGTTCCCACTCGCCAAGTGCCCCATGACGGATGACGGCTGCCGGGGGTGCCGCGGGTGAGGCACGGTGCCGCTGTGACGCAGCCCGCAGCGATGAGGAATTTGTGTTGAGGTTAAGTTCGCCCCTTCGGATACGTCTGGTCGGCCCCAAAAAGCCTGGGGGGTCCCAGACACAGGTCGCGCCAAACTTGAAGACCTTCCCGGGCTCTCTATTGGTCTTGCGCGCGTGAGGGCTGCTCCGTCTTGCGCACCTCAGCCATGCAGTGGTCGCACCTGGTGTGGAGGAGAGAGGCAAAAAGTGAAGCCAGCGCGCTTTTATTCCTCGCCCTTCAAGTGCTTTTGGCATGAGGAGCGCTTGAGGATCGAGCTGCGGGACATCGTCTTGCCGCCCCATCCTGGCGGCCAGGGCCATCTTGGGAATGCCAGCATCTCAGATCGAGGAGGGTGCTGGCGCGGGCCATGGGCGCACGGCCCATGGAGCAGGCCGTGTATGACGAGCTGCGCTGCAAGGCCTACGCCCGGGCCCTTGGAGAGAAGCAAAAGCAGGGATGGGAAGGGAGTGCGGACGGCGCGCGCCGCGCGCGGCTCAGAGGTGGGACCTGCAAGAGCCTTGTTCGGCTCCGACGGCCGTCCAGACAAGTCGCGGCTGAAAGAAGCCAGGCCAGGCTTTGTGCCCAAAGGAGGCGAGCAGCCCTTTCCTCTGATGTGGCGGAGGTTGGAGGTGTCGGGACACCAAGCGGCCGCGGAGGCGCCCCGCGGCGCTCCACCCTGCGCAGCGCCTTTTATTGTGAGCCCCCTCGAGCAGGTGGACCTGGGTGTCCCCGAGCCGCAGGAGCCCTGGGCTTTGCGGATGAAGCCGGGGACCCTGGCCGCCTGCCGCGCTCGAAGGGGCCTTTTCTGCTTTCCTGTGTATATATACCGAGGCTCTACCGGAGACCTGCAAGCAACCTCTTCGCCCAGGAGAAATGTGCGGAGTTCGTGGAGGCGCGGAAGTCGTAAAAAAAGACAGCGTGGGGAGCGCCTGCCGGGCCTTTAGCCGCCAAAGAGAGAGCTCGAGGCGCTGCCGTGCCCTCGCTCGGCTGTGCAGCTGCCAGGGCCCTCGGGCGGTCGCCAGGTCGGGGCGGCGCAGGTCGAGGCCATTACCGAGACCCCAAACACCAGGCTTCGTGTGACCGCCGTTAGGCTTAGAGCCGGGTGTCCGGTCCGAAACTGAAATCACGTGTGCACATGGCCCCAGACTTCACCATGTCAAACTGGAAGTAGCACTTCGGCTCCTAGGTGGCGAGTCCACCACCCTTATGGGTTTTGGTATTTTTTTGTCTTTTTTTGGACTGTCGCGAGAAATATGCTCATTTCCGATTTCGGAGAGGTTCCGGAACCTTTGGTCTTTTTTTTGGGACTGTCTCGACGAATGCGCTCACTTCGTGGCCTACGACGAGTTTTGGTATTTTTGTTTTGTTGTGGGACTGTCTCGAAGAATATACTCATCTCGTGGCCTATGTGTCTGTGTTTTTTTGGGGGTGGGGTGGGGGACTGCCTCGAAGAATGTGCTCCTGTGATGGCCTTTGGCTTCCTGTCATTCGCATACGCAAGCATGTCAAATTTCACTTACAGTTGCCTATGTATGTACATGTATCACTGGACAGAAGTACTAAGCTTAAGGGACACAAACCAAAGGAAGCAAGGAAGAGCTTTAAGAGCTTGTTCATGGGCTCGGCCGTGGATCGTACCTGCAGCAAGTAGATACTAAGTAGATCTAAATATATCTAGATCTAGCGATCTACATTCATGATGGCTGGATATGGAACATGGCCCTCCAACTTTTGATTATGAATCTCTTCTTCCCGGGCCGGTGATCCCGTGTGGGCTCAGATGTTCCCTGAGGGCAAGCAGTGGTTCCAAAGCAACCATGACTAGAAACCCATTACAACCGATTCCTATAGGCCCCCGCAACCCAAGATGGCTTGACCGCCGGTGGGTTTCCAACCACTTAGCGTATTGGACCAGCACCCCGTAGTAATCTCCAGACGAAAACAAGCTGCTTCGTCCTCCTACACGAGGAAGGACCTGCCAGAGTTCCGAGAACTGGGGAACGAACGAGCTGTGGAGGTGAGTCAGAGGCCTAGGAGGAAGTGGGCGACCGGACAGCTTCAGCCGAAACATTTTGACCTCCGAACTGACTCGACCCTCTTCGCATCAGCAGCTGCGGCAATTTCCAAAAACCTGCACTCCTCATCATTTCTCAAAAAAAAGCTTTCTGGATTTCAAAACAAAAAATATCCGAATGAATTGATGCTGAGGGTGTTCCTCTACTGACCTGTTCTTCTTCAAGAGCATACCTCTGCATGGAACACGTGGTCCTTGAGTTCCGGCTGAGCTCTTCAAGGAATTGACATTTCTCGTTGGTCTGCTCAAGCTCAATATGCAGGCTCCTTCATAATTGTTTTCATTGTTCATCCTCGTACATAGAAATAATCAGAGGTGATTTGTTTGTCAGAGAGCAGTTTCAGACGGATACGATCCAACAAGCTGTGCTAAAGCATCCCGAAGGGTCTTGTTTGTGATGTGTCAGACGTTCTTTCCTTGCCCTATAATTTGTGCCTTGTAAAAAGATGCTCATCACGACGATGTCGGAAAGCCAGCATCTTCTCGGGGTCGCAGATCTGACGAGTTGAAGCGCATCAGGAGTACTGGGACGGGCACGAAGGAATGTGTCCCGCAGACGATTTGTCAACGACCGCTAGCCTTGTGAAGGTCTGCTGAACTTAGTCCTAATGGTCGAAATAGTTTCAATTTCTCACATCGGGGCAGGTGATCTTGTTTTCTTGTTCTCGATGTCGTTCTGCTTTGCAGTGGACTTCAGGCACAGCAAACTGCAGCAAACATCAAACACGTTCAGAACTCGTTGAATCACCCGCGCCCAAACGCGCTGAGGACTGGTGCAGAACGGTAAAGGCGTCTCGGAGTCACCGTGGGACTTGGTGCTTTGCTCTCTCGCTGTCGCAGGTGCTTCGGCTCGTGCCTGCAGCAGCTGCCGATGCACTCCAGGAGGCGAGGGGAAAGGGTTTTGCGGGAAGAACTGGCGAGCGCCAGCTAAGGGGCGGGATCTGCGCAGACTCGCGCGTCGCCGCGCGTTCACACGAGGCTTGTGGCCGGGTCCTGGCGCAGGCCGTGGATGCAGGCCAACAAGTTGTCAAGGTTTGAGAACGAGCCGTGCGTGCACCGCGCTGCATGGGAGGCGTCGAGGCCGAGGACGTGGAGGCGGGCAAGCTCGCGCGCGAAGCTGCCTGCTGCTCCGCGATGCTCCGCGCCTGCCAGAAGCTCTGTTTGGGCGCGCGGGAGCTCGGGCCGGAGACGCTGCCCGGCAGCCCGGAAACACAAGAGCAGGAGCACACTCCCCGCCTTTTCCCCCAAAAGGCGGCGGCCCGAGGCGGCCCAGGCGCTCTTGGCGGCCGCGAAGTTGGGGAAGCCCCTGAGCTCTGATTCTGACGCAAAGCACACGTGCCGGTCCCTTTTTTTCTCCGGCTCCAGCTCCAGCAGGCACGCCGTGGTCGAGAAGCTCCTGTCGGCAGGAGACCGGACCAAAAGTTGCCGGAAACCGCTCGAGCAGTTTCCATCCGGCTTGGGTCGAGAGGGCAGAGTGGCAGAGTCGCGGAAGCAGGGGCACAGTCGCAGGGTGGATTGATTGGATGCCGCCCCTCGGAAAAAAAACGCGAGGCGTCCGGGCCACCCTGGCGGCGGCCAGGGCCGCGGAGCAGGCCCAAAGCTACGCAACACAGACACAGAGACGGGGAGCCTTTTTCCGCGTTTTTGGTTCGTCTTTGTCAACGCCCTGAGGCCGGCGAGCACTTGCTCGCCTCGAGGCTCTTCTCCAGCGCCGAGGCGCCCAAAGACGCGGCGGAGCGGCGGAGCGGCCGAGCGCCGTCTCCGTCCGTGGGTTTTTTTAATAGCGATTCCGAGTCCCTTTCTTTGGGTTTCAGGGTGCCAAGAAGAGCGAAGTGACGGCCCAAAGCTTCTCAAATCTCAAGCTCCGGTTTGAGCTTGAGCACCTGCCTTTCAAAGAGCCATCGCTGAGGTCCTTCTGCGGAGGGCTGTGGAGGAGCGGATGCCCTTCGTGGCAGAACAGATCCTGAAGGCACCCGAGCTTTGAGAATTCCGCCGAAGAACTTTGTTACAGTAGACGGCCGGGCATCTCTCGAGTCGAGTCGTCTTTTTGGGCCCGCATGTATCAGCATCTTTCCGCATGTATCGCTCGCAGGAGGATGCCCCTCGGCGCCAAAAAGCAAGCAGAGCTCTGCTCTCCAAAGCGACGCTTGGTGACGCCTTGCCCAGGCCACGGCTCTCCAGGGCCTGGACCAGGAAGCGGCGAGGAAGGCGTGGGACAGCGTGGGACGTGGCCTCTGAGAGTGGGACCCGCTGGGCCGCTCCGCAGGCCCACGCGGCCGGCGCGTGGCCGGGGGCCCCGAAAACTGCGAGTCTTTCGCTCTCTCTTGCTCTTCGCCTCTTCGCTTCCTCTCCGAGAGTGAGTTTTGGATTAGGTTTCTTTTTTGGGGTTTATAAGGACCGTCCTGGCGGCGCTCCTGGATCGTGGCGATCCCGCGTGGGGAGCCGAGCTACTTTAGCTCTTTTTTCAAGGCAAGTTTCGGGTTCATGTCCACCAGCCACAAAATCAAGGGGGCCTCGCGGATCACGAGCGAACCCCAGAAGGGTATACCATGGCCATAAGCAAGAGTCTGGAGCGCACGCACGAAGGGCTCAGAGTCGTGCTGAATCGCCTCCACAACCGAAGACATCCCGAAATTGTAATTCCCCCTTCACCAGGGAGTTTAGTGCTGGAAGCAGGCACAGAGAGAGAGAGAGAGAGAGATGCACGTTTCCGTTGTCATGTTGATATCAGTGCCTGCCTGCTTTATTCGAGCGCCGCCGTCGTGTAACCAATGTAACCTCACTCCCCCCTCAAAGGCCGCAGAAGCTGGGCGGGCTAGATGCCCGGAAACCCTTGACTCGCCCCTGGAGAAGAAGAGAGAGAGAGCCGTGTTTTACCCTCGGGGGTCAGTGTGAGGCCCCGGGGTGGGAGGGAGAGGGAGCCTGCAGCAAGCAAGCAACCGAGAGAGTGAGAGAGAGAGAGTCCGGCTGTTGTGGTCGCCGTGCTTCTTTGGCTGCGCTGAAGAAGAGTGAGTAAGAAGAGGGGGAGGACAGAGAGAGAGAGAGAGGGAGAGATACGCCAACCCAAGTCCCCATGCTTGGAGATGTTTCGGTCTGTGGTTTAGGGGTTAGGGTGGAGCAGAATAACCAGCACTGATGTGGGGGACATCCTGATATGAGTGCGAACCCATCTGCAAGCCAATTCAGGATGTTGCATCTTCGAAGTATTTGTTGTTGCTAGGTTGTTTGTACACCCTCCGAAGATGTGACAATTCTGGCGTCCACCAGATACTGTCAAGTTTGAGTCTCGGGGGGAATATGTTGTCTTGTCTAACATATGGGGGGCCAATGGGCCGGGGGTCTGACACGCCCCTTATGCCCTGGGGAAGGAAGAGAGATGATGCGCGCGGGCAGAAGGCAACCTCTGCCCACAGCCCTGGCGAAAGAAAGAGAGAGAAAGGGAGAGAGAGAGAGCGACTACTCAGCTTCACACGTCATGTTGTTTTCTACCAAGGTGAACCCCAAGGGCCCAGCAAACCGCAACTAAAGGGGAAGGCCACTAGTCTCCGTGTTCTGCATCACATGTCCTTTGTAATTAAGCGGTTGTTGGCACAGTGAGGAAGTGGCGGCCCCCACCTCAGGACCCAGAACGTATGGTATGGCAGGGAAGAAATAACCTTGATCACTACCTGAAAGCAGGGGGACGTGCGGGATATGACGGTTTACATGCAGCATACTATAATGTCGTATGGTGCCGCGCTACTTCCAGTCAGAGAACCCCTGAGTACTGCTGCCTCTGAACAATCGGGGGAGATCCACCTGTTTTCGTGACCTGCGTGTGTATCGGTTCCAGTGTTGATTCCAGAAAGGTGGACTCCCAAACCAGCAGCCCCCGACAGTTGAACGTAACACCTAGTCTGGTACTCAGTGTTGTGATGATCTTGTCAGACAGGGGGAAGCTGCCAGCCGTAGTGTTCAGCAAGGGGGGCATGGTTGTTGCAGGGGGCGCCGGCATGACGAGGCCGGGATGCGGGCTAACGTTCAGGCAGGGGCTTTGCAACGACCATCCGCTCCAGCTCGAACAAGCCGAAGGAGTCAATACCACTCCAAAGACCCCAAAGCCCTTTCCCTCACAAACCAAACTGGGAGGGGGCCGCTCGCAAGCAGACTTGGACCCAGCGAAAGGAAGGAAGGAAGGAAGGAAGAGCATCCATACTTTCTCGTTGCTCTTTTGACCGGAGAACCATATCCTTCTGAAGCGAGTGCTCTGGGTCTGTAGTTCTCACGCCCCTCTGCAAAGCCCAACGACAGGGGCGCGCCTTTCGGCGCGGGGGCCGAGCGCGCTCTCTGGACCCCGAAGTGAAGTGGCTTGCCGTGACGTGAAGTGAAGGGAAGGGAAGTGAGGTGGGAGCGAGCCTATGGCCTGAGGGTCGTTCGTCGTTCGTCGACCCCTAAGCCCAAAAGAACGAAGAGAGCGAGAAACAGAGGGGGAACACAAAACTGTGTAATGGTGTCCATGCTATCTCGGTACTGTGCATGTCGGTACGGGAGACAAATTACATCGCTCGTGTCACCAAACCGCTTGAAAGCCCTGCGAAGTGTGGGGGGCCCATGTGGTCAGGGGGCTTAACTCGCCCCTTCAATAACCTCCCAAAATTGGGGGGCCCCTAGTGGCCAGGGGGCTGAAGATCCCTACGCCCCGCGGAAGAAGAGAGAGAGAGAGAGAGAGAGAGACCCGCACACCCAACAGGGAGGAGGGGACTCCGCCGACATCGAGACCTACTACCAGAGGGAGATGAGCGCGGGGAGTGAGGGGGATGACCTGAGTGACAGCAGTCACCGTAGGCGCCGGTTGCACGCAGCGGGGCTCAACTAGGCCACCCTGTTCTCGCCAGGGTCTAAAGTAGGTCAGCAGGCTTCGAAAGGTGTGTTGTTTCCGTGGTTGCGCCGGGGGGCCGAAGTCAGTACAGTTCACCCACGCCTGTTCGAAGTAACCTCGGGAAGAATCACACTCTCTAACAGCTACTCCTAGTTCCTTCGCCCTTTCCTCCCGGGGGATCGGAGAACAGTAGGGCAGCATGGGGCGACACCGTCGTAAAAAGTGCCAGGAGGGGGATATCGCACTGTGATCCCGCAAGCTGTTGTCCTCGTACTCAACGGTGATTTTGCTGTTACCTCATGGCCCCCCCTGGCACCTTACCTAGTTAAACTTCTGTATGCACTTGTTGTGGGGAAACGTTCCTGCTGCCAGAAGGGGAAACAACCCCCAGCCCCACACCAGCTGGGCACGCAAGCTCGGGGGGACGTTGCCTTGACAGTACCTGGCACGTTGCTCCGGGAAGCATTGGAGTAGTTTTTCGCAGCTGCTGTCCCTTGCCCAACCAAGCTGAATGGGGGAAGCTGTAAGTACACTTAGTTCGTTGTTGGTCCGGCCCTCAGCTTGCAGTCTTGAAGTAGTGTCTTTTACAGAATCGCATGTTGGTAGTGTACCTTGGTCATGATGGGGGGACGCTACCGGGGAGATGCCGCTGACCATGCTCCTAGCCTCTGCAGACATTTCTGTCTTCCACCTTCTGCAGTGCTGTCGTGCTGTCTGCTTGGCAAGAACTGCAGTAGGCGCCTCGGTAGCGGTAGCAGCGGTTGTATAGCCGAGCCCTCTGGGGAAAAAATCACCCGGGGGGAGCTCTAAAACCCCGCTGGGACGTGCGGGTGCGCGTTCGCGTGCGGAGGGGTGGGGGTC